GCTATCACAAATAGTTGATGGAAATTTACGGCCTCTCACATTTTTCTTGTGAAAAAAACTACAGCACTTACGATCAGGAGCTATTGGCAGCTAACACTGCTATTAGTCATTTTAAGCATATGTTGGATGCACGGAATTTTTTTTTAATCACCGATCACAAGCCGCTCACATGTGGATTTCGACAGCGTTTGGATAAGTGTTCACCCCGTCAGGGTAGGCAATTAGACTTTATCTCACAATTCACCACATAAAAGGTTCGACGAACATCGCCACGGACACACTTTCGCGCAAAGAAGCGATAAGCATGCCTAACCCTATTGACTATGAGGATATTGCTAAAATGCAACAAATTGATCCAAAATTACAAACTTTAATTAAAGATTCAAAAGTTCTACAACTAAAAAAAGTTACCGAATTGTAGCTTACCAATATATATTGCGATTTCTCAACAGATGCTTCCGCTCTTACATCCCCCCCCCCCGCATTTCATGAGATAGTTTTTGCAATGTTGCACAATTTGTCTCACCCCGGCACTCCTGCATCAACATAGTTAATATGTTCTCAGTTTGTTTGGTCTTCCACCCATAAAGACTGCGCAAACTGGGCACAGCAGTGCATTCTGATGCATAAAACAAAGTTTAAAGTTGTAAAATTAAACTTTTAGCAAAAGTAGCAATAGAAGCTCCCTAAGGTTATGTACTGTGCAGACATTGAAGACAAAAGTTTTAAACTTAACCAATTTATTAACAATATATAAAAATAAAAACACAATCAATAAATTTAATCAATATCAGAAACTAAAACATAATCTAACTAGAATAAATAGAAGAGTATAACATAATCATTATAAAAAAAAAATTACACTTAGTTGATAATCCATTAACCCCAAGGGTTTTTTCTTTAAGAGAATGTTACACTATTAAAGAATATTGTACCTGATCTCCAAATACTGGCATTCAATACGTGAAAAACATATCACTAAACAGAAACTACGTGGTTTTAATGAAATTTGCTACACTATCAATAAGTCCATGCTTCGTGGTCAAGAAGGCACCTGGAAAATTAAAATTAAATCCTTGAGAGCACTTAAACCGGCAAAACGCTGCTCACTGTAGTTACACATGAGAAATCACAGCTTGGGAAAATCATCGCCACTAATTCAGGAAAAACACTTGTGCTGAAGATGCCGCCTTCATAAAGACAGGATGCCTGCCACGGTAGTCGCTCACATCGTAGCCTCTTTTGAGAATCCAGGAAAAGTCATCTTGTAGACTGGAACCACGGCACTAGTCGCTGGCTGGCATGCATCGCAACATCGTCTTCCAATGGGGGCTGGAACGGCACACCAAGGAGCAAAGAAACAGGAACCAGAAGGAATGAGCCAGAGCGACGCGAGATACTTATACCTGAAGTAGACATGACGTCATCTCACAGCAATCAATCAGCTATCGGCACCACGCAGCTTTTCAGATGATGTAACATCAAAGTTTCGTTTTTGCATCTTAATTAGGCTGGAACAGTCCGTTCTTAATACCAACAGTGGCAGTGAAAAGCGAAGTAGAAGTAACTACTATATCCCTTTAAAATAAGAACTAAACCTTATCTAAAAGTTAGAATTATTTCAAGGAGGAGAGATGATGCAGAAAAAGGGTTACAATAAGTCACATTTTCCAACACATTCAGTTCCAAAAAGCAAAAGTAAGAAGGCATACTAGAGCCCAGTTAATGAAGTTTCCAGACCAATCACAGAGATTTGAACACGTCCACCTTGACCTCATTGGTCCGCTCCTCAGAATAATTATTACTCTCTATGATAGTACTACATCACAGATCACCAACGGGTGGTTTGTGATAACGTTTTGCTGGTCTGCAGAAAAATTGGGGCATTATTTATATTTTTTATGAAGATTCAGTTTAAAAAATGACAAGTAACAAAATCTAATATGGATTATACTTTTTTTTAATTTTAGTTACTACTTTTAGCAAAATTCCTTTTGAATTTAGCAACTTTTCAGCTATTTTTGTGGGTGTATCTAGCAACATTTCAAAGTGAGAGTTGGCATCCATGGATATACTGCTATTATCAATATTAGCGCAAACTGGAATTCTCTTTCCTTTTGAATTACAAACATATGCTATTGTAGTCGTTAGTAATACAGTTTTTCTCTGTGTCAATAGGCAACTTGACGGATTTTTATGGATGGAACTTGATGGAATTATAAACAAGAATGAAGATGGTTCATCCGCATTCTTGTTTATAATTACATCACTGGAAGTTTCCATTTTTCTTTCGTCTAACTGTTGATCGATGGCGCTATTGCTGAGTAAGCGATGATTATATGTTTGCAATAACTAAAAATTTGGTGGCAAAACACTATCACTTTATTGATATTGCTTTTCGTGAAGTTTCTTTTCAGCGATATGGAAATGTAAAGCTTTCTGTACAAGAAGGTAAGATTTTTTGTACTTTTCATGTAATTTTTCAACGTGAATGAAATATGTAAGTTGTTTGCTGATTATTATTGTATAAATGTATTTACCTTTTTTTTTATTTTTTTATTTTTTTATTTTTTTTTTGTAATTCATATTAGTGGCACACCAAATATAAAATTATTTATGTAGTGGTATGTGAAGTTCTAAGGATTGACGACTGCTGTACTAGATGGCCCGAAGCAGTACCCATACGAGACATAACTGCATTCACAGCACAAGCTTTCTAAGACCACTAAATTACTCGATTTGGTTGTCCGGGTGTTATTACTACTGACCAAGGGCAACAGTTTGAAAGTGGCTTATTTCGAGCTCTTTCCCAACTGTTGGGAATTAAGAGGATCAGGACGTCTCCGTACCACCCACAGGCGAATGGAACTGTGTGTGTCTGACACTTTTGTCTGTGTTACCCTTCAGTCTTGTGCTTCACCGGAATAAGTAAACTTCAACATCTGTACTGGAACAGTGTTCTTTCTAAGACATTATAATGTATCTAACTATGTTACTTTTCCGTATTATAATCCATTATTAATTATATATGCCTATCTCAAATACAAATGCTGTTTTTCTAGGTAATGTTATCAATACTTTTGTAGGCATGTGTAACTTGCACGTACCTCAAGTTCCAACCACATCTGTTTGATAAACCAAAAAGGATATCACATAATTCTGAAAAAGTATAGTAATTATTTAAAGTGATTCAGTAGTTTTGTTTCGATAATGGCATCAATCAAAGTCATAATAACTTGTGAAGGTACCAATAGAGATCGAAACTTAGAATGAAACATTATATATAATAAATGACTATTCTTAACATATATAAATATATAACCATTCCGAGTATATATAATAAATGAACACATACAACCAATGTTAGATTCACTTAGCACACATGTTTTGAAACCAAATTTTGCTTTTTTTCAAGGCTAGATATTTGCGCCAGAATGAACGTCCTTTGTACAACATCAAAGTTTCATCTAACACTCACAGGCCAAATTTTATAGAGTTTCAGATTAGGATGATCACATAATTCTGAAAAAGTATAGTAATTATTTAAAGTGATGCAGTAGTTTTTGTTTCGATAATGGCTTCAATCAAAGCCATAATAACTTGTGAAGGTACCAATAGAGATCGAAACTTAGAATGAAACAGTATATATAATAAATTACCATTCTTAACATATATAAATATATAACCTTTCTGAGTATGTATAATAAATGAACAAATACAACCAGTGTTAGATTCACTTACATATGTTTTGAAACCAAATTTTACTTTTTTTTCCAAGGCTAGATATTTGCACCAGAATGAACATCCTTTGTACAACATCAAAGTTTCATCTAACACTCATAGGCCAAATTTTATAGAGTTTTACGTTAGGATGCTTTTCTGGATCATGGAAATCAATGCTCAGAAAATGAAGGTATTTTTTTTTTTATTTCATAGTATGATTATATGACTTAATAATCTTAGGGGGGAAAGGATTTTCTACTGATCTATTTCTTAGTCTAATACATGCCTTCTTCAGGTTTTTTTTAACGATACCTTATAAAACTGCAAGGAACAAATTAATTTAATATAGCGATGCTTGAAATGAAATATTAAATTCAGGCAATAATTTGGACTGAAAAGGTGGAGGACAATATCTGGGACATCTGGTATAATTTCGTTTCATTGACACCCAGGTAGAAGTTGCACGAGATCATCACTATTGTCACTATCTTTAAATTCCAGTACTTCAGAATCAAAAGCATCTGAAAAAAGCTGCCTTCTGAATCACTTCTCAATCTTTCAAAACTTAAATCCTCTTGTCCCCATCAGCTACTCCTTTTTAAAAATATTAAATGGAAAAAAAAAAAAAAAAAAAAAGGGCACTAAATTCTAATCCTTTCAAAACATGTTCTAACAGAAATAATATTCTAAATCTACATAGTATTGTTGCAGTACTATGCTGCCATCTGTGACACAGTTGTTAAATACAACTCATACAGGCAGGATAAAAATTGGAATTCACATGATTTTTTATTGCAAAAGCACAGACCATGTTAGATATGGCATGACAAAATTTACAAATTGGCTGTCCATACGAGATGGGCACGACAACTAAAAGGTTTAATAATATCTTAATTTTCAAAAAAATTGCTTCATCACATTGTATTGTCGTCCACAAACAGTACATACACAAAAATTGTATTTGATAGATCAGGAAAGAGTTTAAAAATCAGGAAGGAGGATATCAGGAATGAGTTTAAAAATGCATGACAAATTTTAACTACAAAGGTGTGAACAATAAAAATTTGGCAAAGAAGGTCTTATTTTGAAGAAAATGCAGTAATTACCTCTGAATGGTCAATATTCATTAATTAGTTCAGCACATTTCATGATTTTATGTCACAGAACATTTACTTTTACAAAAATGTGTACAGAGAACCCAATGTAGAATCATGATGACCTAATGCATACACAAAAATATCCGATATAAATACTTTAATTAAATAACTTGAACTTACTTTAGGCTGAAGAATACCTTCAACACTACTCTCTATGTTTGTCTCAAAAACATGAGCTTTTGTAAGCTTTTTATCCCAGTGGGCTGCCAACCAAATTCGTGCCAGCGGCCCCTTCTTGGCCAACACAAAATGGGCATAGAACATTTTTTATACCTACAAGGTTAAAAACATATTTAACGTTAATCAAATACATAAAATTGCAAATAAAATAATTATAAAAAATCAGTCACACGTATGAAATCTACATAAATAAATAAGGCAAAATATACTAAAATGGCATAGTCTATATTTTAGGGTACCCCCTGGATTATCACCAAGCTGTTGTTTCATTTATGGGAAATTGAGTACCTTATGTTCACACATACCATGTGAAGTTTTTTTTTTTTTTTTTTTTTTTTAATAATTTTCATCGGAAAAACTGAGGTTCGCAGCTTACACGAAAAACGCAAGTTGGCCAGCATAAATTATTTCTTTTCGAAGCTACGGTATCCCCAGAGAATATACCATTCTATCGTGCTACTGCACCCTCTCAAACAATAAGTCCTGGCCAGGTATCTGTAGAGGATATACTCGTACTTTTACCAAACTGTTATTCTCTGAATGGTTTTTGCCAACCATTGGTTTTGGCTTCTAGTGATAACATTGGCAACAGCACAGGAAAAAAAAAATTTACACAGAATGGATGGCTGCTGGAAATCACGTACTGACTGGTTCCATCAAGAAGCCCCAAATAACTTGAAACTGTGGATGGATCACAGCCACCTGGAATGAAATTTCACAAGAACTTGTAATTACGAGCTTCAAAAAGTGCGGAATATCAAATAGCATGGACGGAAGCGAGATTAAGCAGTTCTGATGATAAGATGGAGGGGAACACTAGCAGTTCGGAAATGATGGAAGATAAGAAGAGGACACTGGCAGTTCGGAAAGCATCAGCGATGACAGCACTGCAGAAGACAAGGAAGATTAACAATCTACATTGTAAAAAAGTGAGAAGTGCCATGGTGTGATAAATTATCTGCCTTTGTTAGATTATATGTAGATTTTAAAGCATTACTCGGGACTTTTAAATCCACATTGAGTGCAATGATTGCTGCCAAATGAAGGTATTGTTTAACGAATAAAATTTTATATAATATACTTAGATTAGCAGTTTTTTTCTTTCTGCTGTAGAATTAAATTCTGCTAATGATTTATTCCTTCCCATTAAAATGTTGCTGGGCATGTGCTGCTATGTACTTAGGCAGAAGCTGCAGGTGGTAGCTTCGATTTCTTTCCCCATAACAGTCAATTAGTATAGTTCTTTGTTTCTTAATGCTGGTAATCCAGAATAAAGATTTTTTTCTGTAAATTAAGCTTTCAGTAGGCTTGATGAAAATATATGCACCGTACTCGCAGACATTTTTTTATTTTTTGTTGCATCGAAAAAAATCTGGTGCACGTGGTATTCGTGAGTATACGGTATTTTACGGTGAACGTTTTGGAAACACTATCATGACGCAATTGGTTGCAACACGTGATTAGGCTGATTTTGGATTTGGGTGAATATTTCTCAGGGCTTACTTTTGCAGTGGATGTCAGCTAGGAAGTAAATTATTTTAAGCTTTACACCATAAAATGGGTATCGTTGATAAGATAACCTGAAGCTTCTGTACGATTTGGAACAAATTGGAAAGAAGGTATTGAATGACTGGTGTGTAAATTAAGGTTTAAATGGCTTCGTTCATCTATCAGAAAATCACGCAGTGACAATTAAGAAACCAGAGCTCATATTAACACAATTGAAGGTACGTGGGATATAAAAAGGGATTTTTGAAATTAACGCCACCAACAGTCTGGCACTACGGAGGCTACTTTTAACTGTTTGAGTCCCAAGCAGCGTGATAGTGCTGTTAAGATTATATGTCGAGAAAACCCAGTACATTTCAAATCTTGTGGACAACTGACGGTGCACTTGATGTTGATAATTACTTGATGATTAATTTATTTTACGTCGATGTAAACTAAACAAAGCACTCATGTCACTTGGCATTTCTCAACATAAAACAAAACATCGCGCTACTTGGGATTCTTCAATGATGTTTTTTCAATACCCCCTGGAACTCAAATGGTTAATTGTTAAATTTGTGAATTCATGTTGCAACAGCAGTATATAGGTTCTAGTTCAAATCATTTTAAACAGTTTTTGGATGCTGTTAAGGAATTCTGTGTGCCGCACATAGGAAGGCACAGAAATTTCTAAATAAGTGAATATTTCTTTTTTGTACTGCGCAGATTGGATAACATGTATTTCCATTTTTATGTTATTTCCTAGTTTTATTTTGATTTAAAATGCAGTTCAAGAAATTATTATTTTTTTTCTTTAATTATGTTTTATTTCATTTTATGCTTCAATGCCATTTTACTCGGGAGGATGTTGCACATAAACAGGAATGGTTCAAAAAATCACCAAGGAGTACCCTGCGATACATTTCCCCCTTAAATGTACATTTTGAGATAACTAACATTGCATACTGAATTATATTAGTATAGCCAAAGCTATAATCAAAACTCACTACATTTTTTAGAAATTTAAAAAAAAAAAATAATAATCTGTTCTCCTAAAACGATATGACTGCACCAAAATTCGTGACATTTTATATTTTTCCAAGCAAAAGAATCTAATTTTCCCTGTGATAGTACTATGCGATAAGAATCACAAGCAAGCAAATAAGATTTGCTTTAAAAGAAGATGTTTACTAGAAATATTTTGTATTGGTTTATATTCACAGAACTTGCTGAAAGCGGAATTTGTTCAAAAGGCATTATTGGTAAAACTGTTCAACTTCAGCATAGAATTGGTTTTTACAAGTTTAGTACAGATATACACTGCTCTCCAAAAGTTAAGGAACAGCATGTTTTCTCAAAGCTCATCATAACAAAAATGTCAGTAACATTTAAATTCACGTTTATATGCATGATAGTAAGGAAGCTTAAGAAAATAGATGCAAAAACAACAGCTACCACTTTTATTTTACAGAAATGAATATTTATATTAGAAATAGAGAAAAAATGCAAAAATTGTATGTTTCGTTCCCGAGTGTTCATCTTCAGTTTTTCAGGCATGAAAGTGCAAGTTGGCAAAAAAAGCTGAACAATGCACGGACACAAAATTACACAAAAACCATATGCGCACGTTCGACCTAAAAAAAACGCATTTGAATAAAATATAAACCTTTTAATATAAAAAGTATTATATAATTAAACTAACATATAAATATAATTAAACTATAATAATACTTGTACTTACTATTTTGCTATCGATTTTATCTTCCACTTGTTAAAAAAAAATCAGTAAATCATCAAGAAATTGTAATGAATTAACCTTCTTTAAGACGCTCTTTATGTAACTTAACAGTTGATACATGAATACTGTACACAACATTACAACACACTAATATACATATTTATGTTATATATTACTGCCCATTTTCAGGCAATGACACAAGTTTTAGAGATAAATATATATATATATATAACTGTTACTACAGCTTTCAATTATCTTCACTTTCAGTTCAATAAACAGTATTTTATATAACACCAGAAAAAGTAGTCATATAAGATAATATAGTTACAAAATACCATATAGTTAAAGGAGGAATACAAAAAGTAACTATTTTGTCCCAGTCTCACTCGATCCTGATTAAAAATTTTTAGGTAAAAAGCTTTTTCTTTTTTGCTACTTTTGCAGCCAACTTTTCTAATTTCCATTTGCAAGCTAGTCTCAATTTCTTTTCAGCAGCTTTTATACAATTCATTGATACTTTTTTATTTTCTGCAATGTTTAATTGCCTTTTTTTAGATTCTCGCTTCTTTGTGCTCATGATTCAGATTTAAGATATTCATACTGAAAAACTTACAGCAACAAACAAAAAAGAAATAACATAACGATTTACGCTCCGAATTACAGTATGCCACTTTACACACGCTAAAACTCGCACGTGCTCTGGATAACATCAGTAGGTATCCGTATGTCGGACAGATGGCGCCAGCACCGATTGAAATGATATAAGTCAGCTCTCGTTTGACGGTTGCTTGCTCTTCTTTGATTCGATATTCGTACGCATCTAGTTCCGCTTTTCCAGAGAGAGAGCATGTTCTCCGTTTACCCCCCCCCAATTTGCCGGTCACGATTTCTCAACGGTTCTGCATCGATCTCAGAAACAGCCCAGATGATATTCAAAAATGCAGAAAACTTTCATGCCTGGTTTTTATTAGCAGTTACATTGACAATATTCAGAAGAGTCTGTCAATGTCCAGAAGTCATTTGTCCGATTCATTGAGGAGGTGGACAATTGGAAAGATGGAAATGGGGATGTCACAAGCTGATGCTACTAGACATCTCAATGTCTCTCGTAGTGTGGTCCACCAACTATGGAATCAGTTTGAATCCAAGGATTGTCTCTAGAAGACATGTTCCAGATAGACCAAGAGTTACAACACCTGCAGGAGAGCCTTATTTAGCTCTTTCGGCCAAAGGAGGAGCAACATTACTCTGCCTCAGCTCAGGGAAGATCCACTTAGTGGCAACATGAACAAAGACTGCCAGCTACTACAGTGTGCAGACGCCTGTACAATATAGGTCTGTATGCAGGACAATCAGTTGTTTGTGTTCCCTTGACCAGAGGACACTCAGGGTGCCTATTTAACTTGGGCTAGAGAACATGTTTCCTGCACCAGTCAACAATAAGCTTCTGTTCTCATAGACGAGTCAAGGTTCACACTGGAGAGTGTCAAGTTCGTCAACTGACCTCGAGAGGAAAATGCACCAGATACAACCAATCTCACACTGTGGAAAAACACAGTTACAGAGGTGTTGGAATAATGGTTTGGGCTCAGATTTCTCTACGTAGTCACACTGACCTGTATGTGTTCCATTGAAGAACTTTGACCAGTGTGAAATATTGAGATGAGCTCCTTGATCAATATGTTCGTCAATATCCCATTACTGGTCCTGGATTTCTTCTGATGGACAATAATGTGTGGCTGCATTGAGCTCAGTTTGCTTGAGGGTCACAGTATGGAGCAGATGAAATGGCCAGCTTAATCCCTAGTCCTGAATCCGATAGAGCATCTTTGGGACTACCTTGGGAGACAGGTTGCTGCTTTA